TGGCTGGCATGGAGTGTGGACGATGGGAGAGTGGGATGGAGTCGTTTGTGGGGGCATAATTTCGGCCTGTGGGGTCCCTCTGTGTCCACAATCGACAAGGGGAGGCGAGACGAAGGGCGGTGGCACAACAGATGCACGGCCGAGTTGCCCGCGACCCTTTGCCTTTCGTCTCGCCTGCCACGATAACCCTACGTTTTTCTTATGTTTTGGTGGAGCTTGGAAATGACCCTCAGTTGGCCTTCGCGCTGCGTCAATGCTGTCGTCCACCCCGCGTGACACGTGTTTATAAGGACGCGGGCGTTCTGCGCAAATGCACGACAACACTCTCTCTCTCTCTACCTCACGCAGTCCCTGCCGCCCGCCGCGCTTGTTCTGCTTTTGGTCGCAGTCGTTTGCGCCACTTGAGTCGCCTTCGTAGCCTGCATCCGCACCTTCGTCGCCATCGTCGCCATCGAGCCTTTTTGTTCAACATCGCCGCCGTCATCGCCATCGTCGCCGTGCCCGTCGCCAACGTAGTTCTCTTCACTGCTTGCGTCTTCTTTGTAGTCGTCTTCGGCGACATTGTCCTCGGCGAGCACGTCTTTTCGCCCGTTGTCTTCACTACTATCGTCGCCTTTCCGTAGATCCTCACCTTCGTCGTCCAGATTGTCATCGTCACCGCGGGTGCGTCTTGCGCCATGTCCTCACGCGCTTCCGCACGAGGCAAGGCCGCCGCCAACCTCTCACAACAACCGGTGATCCGGGAGAAGAAGGGCCGCCACATCGCCAGCAAGAAGAGGAAGATCCTTGAAGGCGCCCCGGCACATGGAGGTTACGTGCTAGATGAAGAGTGGGTGCCGGAGGACGTGGCGACACAGGAGGGGACGGATTTCGAAGACTCTAACGACATGCCGTTGCAGCGGAAGTCGTCCAGGCGGGGGAGTGGCGGCATCCGCATAGACGACGCTGGCGAAAGACGACGCGTAGGAGGGCGGCCAGCACCGGAAGACGTCGTCGACGTTGACGCCGCGATGGCAGTTTGAGAGGGCGGGGGAAATCGCGCGCCACTGCCACGTATGACTCCACCAACCGACGCGCAAGAGGGCGTGGTTCGCTTACAGACACCGCTGACACCACGCTCGAGGACGGCTGCAGACGTGGCCTTGTCGGGGGGGCCATCACAGGCGGTGGGAGGGGTGAGGGCAGGCGGGGCAGCGGG